TTGGGTGGAGACTGTACCGTGTACCCGGTGTTTGTAAATGAGGCTGCGTATTATGAAAAGAAAGAAGCTTTTGCAAAGACGACTAAACTAACACTCAATGCAAAAAGTATTCGCTCCTCTTTACATTAGAAATCACTTATAGCTCATTTGTTATAGGGTACCTAGAAAAGTTCTAGTTTGTAACCTCTTGGAGACCAGATTGTGCCTTATTCATCACCGAATCCATAGCATCTAGCCCAGTGCCTTGCAGATGGTGGGCATTCAGGTAAATTTCTTGAATGCATGAATCAATCAATGAATATCTTTTAAAGATACTGTACTTTATGTATGCAACTTACTCAAAGAAGTGCTTTTCTTATTCCTGTATAGCTTTTTGTACCTTATACTTTGACAGTTAACATTCTCAGTAAACAGCCTTTAAGTTCAAATTTTAACATTGAAATATATACTGTATAAAAAGAGATATTAACTTGAGCATAGAACTGAATGTTGTATGTTTTCAAGTAGTGTAAAAATGCTACCAGAAACTAATTGTGCCAACTCGTTATTTTAAATTTTTTCAGATTTGAATTAATGATAAATTATTAAGGATCCAGTCTATAAACTTTAGCAGTAGATATGATACCTGTAGATTTGCAGATGCTCTTTTGAAGATGAAATGTGAACAGGAAATGAGGGCTGATTGTAAAGGTGACATTTTGAACAAATCCAGAAACTCTGAATGATCCTTTGTCCACCGACAGGCAGTAACCCACACAGAGCATCGCTGCGGTGGCCACCCACTTGTGCTGCGCTGACCTTAGAGAGCAGAGAGCTTCCTACAGAGTCTCACAGGCCCCCACCAGCGCTAACATTCCTTCCCAACTTGGGAGGCACATTCCTCCCAGCCCTCCCTTCTTGCTTTGAGAGAATGAGCTTGCCTTTCTTCCCAACCAGCATGTGAGGAAGTCTTTGGGCTCCAGCAGCATAGGTGGTAAAGACAGAAACAGCAGAGGGCAGTGGACACTAGTGGAAGTGTGACCCGAACCTATGTCTCTGGTTCACAAACACATTATTTTAAAGAATTCCCCCGTGTCCTAAAGGCCCAAATACCTCACTCCCATGATTATCCTCCTCAGAGGTCCTCGGGCTAAAACGCTTTCTCTGTCCCTCTCCAGCCCCTACAGGAGACTCCCTCCCTCCTCTCTTAGGCCACAGCAGCCAAGTAAAGAAAATTTCTACCCCATCATTTGGACCCCAAGGAACCCATGTTTACGGTTTCAAATATATTTACCAAAATCATACTAACATTATCTGTACCATATATGTAGACAGTTTCATTCTATCAAAGCAAATCCCACTGAGCCAATTTCATTCCATAATGTGTTCTATAGCACACAAAGTGTTTCTAAATTTTCGACATTTGTATTTGCACTTTCCCAAAATTATCTTCACTAGAATAAACTCTTTTTCTTCTGAATTCTGTAGTAAAACTCCAATTTATCAATCAGTTCTTGTATATAACCAGTTTTACCAGGCTTCCTTCTCCAACTGTGCGTATTCCTTCCTTTGTGTTCTATGTCCAAGTTCAGTTTTCCTGGGTCGATTTTTTCCAGACGTATTTTTTGGCAAAAATACTTTATTCTTCCATCAAAATTTAGTTAACAAAATTTACAATGTGCAACTTAGACCACTGTGGTTTCAGATTTTATACTGATTATTTCTATCAAGTCTAATTCTCTCTGACTCTATATAGTCTTTAGAATTTCTAAATAGATGTGATTTTTAAAAAAAAATCTACAACACATTGCTGTGTGAGTTTAGCCACTTTGTTTTATTTTATTTTGATTATTTCAGTCTAAAGACTCAGTTTTCTCATTTATAAAATGGGGATAATCATGATAATAGCGCCCCTCTCATGAGATGATTGTGAGGATTAAGTGAGCTAATACGTATAAGTACGTACCACAGTGCCTAGCACGGAATAATAAATTATTCAAGTTCAAATTCCTCACACAAAAGGCCCTTTATGAACTGTGCCTCCCTTCCTCACAAGCTCTCTAGACTCATCTGCCTTCAAGTCCTCTCTGTGGAGTCGGTGTCACGTTGTTTTATTTCTATATGTCTTCACACAGACTGTCCCTTCCACCTAGAATTTTCTTCCTTCTCTTCCCTTCCTCCCCTACCTCACCCCTACTCAGACCTTACCCTAGCTAATTCCTGTTTTTTCGCAAAATGCAACTCAACCCTCATTTCATCTGTAAAGCCTTTCTTGGCTTGCCCCTTGGCCCCTCTCTTGTCCATCCCATCTTGAGGGTATGACCAGTGTCTTTTTCAGTATCTGCAATCTAATTAGTTCCTGATAAAGTTCAGCTGAATAAATGAGTGTGCTCAGCCATTCCTCCTCTATGGAAATGCTTCATATTCTACCAATGTCCCTGCCTTCTCTTTGCCTTTTTTCCTTCTTTCCCAGTCACTTCCTGAGCATCCCCATCACTCCCAGGTGGAATTCACTCCATTTCACACTCTTCAGACTGTTACTATGTCCCAAATGATGGTGAGCGGAAAAATACACCGTTTTAAGCCAGCAACCCTATAGAAAAAGCAACAACAACAACAAAGGAAATGTTCACATTCAGTAATCTCCCTGTGTGAAACCTTTTAGTCATTTCCCCTAACCCTTGGTATGAAACCTCCAAGCCTCCCTACAGCTGGGCAAGTCCTGTGTGCCTGGCCTCCGCCCACCTCTCCAGCCCCTGTTCCCAGCGATCTGGCCACACAGACTTCTCCATCCTCAAATGCACCGAGCTCCCTGCTACCTCGGGGTCTTTGCCGATGTGTTTCCCTCTTATTTAAACTCTGTCCTACCTCACACTACCCTTTATCTGGATGACGTGTAATCTTAAATGTGACCCAGGCTACGCTAAACCCCCCTGTTATACAAGCTCATTGATGTGACTGGCCTAGCACTTAGCAGAACACTTCAGAGAACCTGGATCCTTGGCCCAGGAAAAAGCACTGTGACCTTTACCTGGCATTCCGTCTCTCTCCAAGTCTCAATTTCCCCACCTATTAAGTGGAGATATAATAATCATCAAACCACCTATAAAATCATATAGTAAGATAACCAATATGAATGAAAGAGCTTTATAAATAGGGAACTATACAATCTCAAAGGCTGAAAAAATTGCAAAATACCTTTTGGAAGGTAATTTTTCACAATATCAAAAGCCATAAAACTGTTCATCCTCATTGACCTGGGCATCCCACTCCCAGAGTATATCCTGTGACAGGAGTTTCTACCCTTTTCCTATCAGTCCATCCAGAATGTTTCCATGGATGGAACATCCCTAGCTTATAGGCTGAAGCCTGTGTGAGCTAGGATGCAGACTGTGTACCATTTCCATTTCTTTGCCACTCAAGGAGACACATCCCAGGGAAGGATGTTATTCTGGGAATCGTTTGGATTAGGTAAATAACTGACCAAATATCGCATATCACTTAGTAATAAGTTGTTTGCCAGTTCTGCAACCCCTCAAGACACCTCAGCATCTTGGCATTCAAGATGAGAACTGCCATCCTTTTGAAATAACTCAAAAGAATGAAAAAGTGTATATACCTGTATGTTGGGCAGTAATGGCAGTAATAAATCAGCTCTTTCATATCCATTCTCTTATTGCCCTTCTTTAAGGTCCTGTGAGGTAGACAGGAGGGATTTATACTTCCTGTCTCCAGGTGGAGCCATGGTTTCACATCCATGCAAAGTAATTTAAGAACCAACAAGCGTGATGGAAGGACTCCCTGCTTGGGGTCACGTGACTTGAACCTGTAACATTTTCAGGCTGTGATTTGTGACTTCAAATCTCTGGGTGTCCTTTGACTCAAATTGCTTCCAGAGTTATTCAGTGGTTCAAATAGGGTACTGGGAATGATGCACTTTAAGATTTAAACAGTGCACAAAGGTGGCATGCCTTAGTGTGCTGACTCTGTCCCTGAGCTGGGACCGATAATAATGCTTTAGGTCCAAAGAGTGGCCTTCCCTTTATCCACACATGTTAAGCAACACCCTAAAATTTCTGGTCAGTCTTCACAGTGGCACATCTAATGCAAGGACACAACACGATCATAACAAGGCAAAATAAATATTTATTAGAAGTCATGAAAGCATGTTTTTATGACATGCTTTAGTGCTATAGTTTTTATGACATGCTTTAGGCACTATAGTGCTCCTGTTCCATTTATGACTTGTTTTTTGAACATAGAATTTCACACACACTTAAATTAAGAACAAGTATTTAAATTAGAATTTGCACAGATCAGGCACATTTGATGAGAACAAGGGGACAAGTCTGTGTTTGGGACTAAGATGACAGTAAAAACATGTAAGTCAATGCAGAAATCGAGTGTGGCTTACAGGCCCAGATGACTGCCCACCGACCTGGGCCCCGCCCAGAGCAAAAGGACATAGTTCACCAGGCCTTGAGGAAGGAAAGGAAGATCAGTAACACTGGGCTCTCGGGCAGGAGCCCCTCTAACAGCTTAATGACTTCACAGTACAGCCTCAAACTCCTTCTCCCACAGCCCAGGGAAGAAGGTAAGCACCATTTTTATTCCAAACAGATATACCAACATAATGTCTAGAATAATAGAGTCTTCCTGAGGCAAAGTTTAGCTAAAGGGAAGGTCCCAGCCAAAACTGTTATCTGAGTAGGGGAGATTCCATCCCTGGAACATGCCTTCCCCTTAAATTACTGCTGCATGAATCATTCAAGATGTCCTGATACACCTGTGAATTCACTGTAGCGTGGCGTGTGTGTGCACACACTTGAATTTTAAACCCATCGTAACGATCATAGGGACAATGTATACTGTCAGCACGAGTTATCTGAGCAAAAAGCCCTAGCCCCCTGACATACGCCAACCACAAAGGCAGACTCAAACTTACTGAATAACTGTCCTGAAAAAAAAAACCATTCAGGGGGACGTCTGTGGTCCAGAATCAGAACCTCTGGCTTCAACAGCTCTGATACAACCTCCTGCGTAACTCAGACAAGTCCACTTTCCTTCCAGGGCTTTAGTCTCCAGGTGTAAATAAGAGAGCCGGTCCTTTGAAGCCAATGCCCTTTGACTCCTTGCTTCCCTTGGCAAACCTATCCAGGCTGAGACCATCCAGGCTGAAAGCCTTTGGGGGAGGCCACTATTAGGAAGACTATCCCAGTACAGAAAATGGTCCTGCCAACAAATTCGATCCAGATCCACAGACAGCAGTTCTTCATGTGTAAGAAGACAAAGACCCCGTTACTGATCTCTGTCTGTCTAACCTACCAGCTTTTGTTCAGGTGGGAAATGGAAAGCCATATGGCTTTATCCATTCATATCTGAATCAGAACAGTTCTGAATTCCCAGCTCCATGGTGCCCTGGCTCCAAACAGCTGCCCTTCAAACCAGGGACACCTGTTCAAGATAAATTCAGGTAAGTAACTCCAGATGCAGGATGCTGATTTCCAGGCTGAAAGGACCTTCAAGTTCATCCAGTTGTGATCTTTCACAACATCCCAGTAAGTGCTCAACCAGCTGCTTCAGCTTTTTCATACGCCTTTTCCTCTGCTTCAAAATTCACAGTTAACAAAAATAGTTACTACCAGAGTATTTCAGGTATTTTGTTAAATTCTTCCAATGAGAAATACTGATGTACAGGAGTAACCTCTGAGATTCAAGACCACGTAAACAGAGCAGCTGCCATTTCTGTTTCAGATAAAGCCACAATCCCAGCTTGGAAGCACGCACTGTGGCAGGGCTGGGACAAGGCAAAGAGCCAAGATCTTTCACCCAGATCGCAGGCCCTGCCTGCTGTGTCTCATGTGGGCTTCTATGTGCATAAAGAAAAGCTTTTTGCCCTTGTTCTGGCCACCCCAAGGCCAAGTATATAATACTTACACCCAGCCCCAAATCCCAAAATCTACTTCTCAGATTTTAATAATCACATACTTCATCTGAAGTAATTTTCATGCAAAACTGAAATGATCTTTCTCTATTGAAAAGAAAAGCCCTGTGTTAATTATTCTACTAAAAACACCTCTCAGTGTGAGACAGTTTGAACCTTGAGTACCAAGGCTACTCATTTCAAGGTTGTATTCCTGCTCCCTGAAGGTTCCAGAAACTCATTCCCGTCTGGCCCCTGGGGTGGGATTGAGAGTCCCTTAAATCCAGGAGACCCAGTCATAGTAGGGGAGATGGTGGAATGTGTGCACTGGGGTGGGAGCTGTCACGATGTTGGCAGGAAGACTCCTCTCCCTGCTCCTCCGATCCCCACCCTTTCCCTGCCAACCTTCTCTCCGAGCCACATTGACCTGAAGCTGGGGAACACAGGGACTTCACTCAGAATTCGGGATTCCCAGGACTCCAGGGTCAGGACTGCCGGCCGTGCGTGTATACAAGCTCTTTGTTGAGTGACAAAATCCAGGCTGTTTCCCACTCAGGCAAACTGACAGCTGCCCCCGGGTTCAGCCACTTGCTCAGCATGAGGGTGCTTTCCTTGTCTCTGTTAGCAGAACCAGGCTCCATCACCCTGCAAAGCCCTCAGCACCGAGTCCATGACCCAGCCTGCAGCATCAGACAGCCCACTCGCACACGAGCTCCGGGTTCTGCTTCTACACTGACGTTTCCGGAAATTCATCGATTTCACCAAATGCATTGAGGGTAGTTTTGCTGTTGCTCCTGGAAGAATCTTGGAGTTTGTTGAAATCTGCTTGAAAAAAAAATCCCCACCATTTTACAAATACAGCACTGTGCAAGGTGTGCTTCCAGATCTCAGTCCACCACCTGATTTTTAGAAATTATTCCAGATAGGTTATAAAATGATAGTGCTGGAAGGGATTAATTCAGCCCTCCCACTTTATAGATGGGGGAAATCAGGGCCCTCCAACTTGGTCTGCCCGGGATCAGATGGTCAGACAGGAGTGGGCATCACTGACAGCAGCGGTACCTGTCTGTCTCCCAGGCCCCGGATCTTCGTTGAGGAAGGAGACGTGAGTTTTCCATTCAGTCCACTTCACCTCGTTGATCCTGTGGGTGTGATAATCATTCTCACCACTCCCTAACTGCATCGCATTAAATGCAAACAAATAGCACAGAGTTTGAGGTGTCCTCGACAGCTCCCCTTCTGTCCATTCCAGGGATCGGGAGCACTCCTGCCTGCACCTCCCCCTCAACCACAGTCACATCAGCATTGTTAGGGCTTGAAACCTGCCCATGTCCCCACTTTCCCAGTCCTCCAGGATCAGTCTCCTCCTAGGGTGTGGGACCCAGAAGCTCAGAGTATGAAGGGGACATCTTCAGCCAGCAGTGGCTGTGCCTGACGGATGGGGGAGACAGTCCACGGGGAAGGAGGGGAGGGTGGAAGGGAAGGAGGAAGGGAGGGTGGGAGTAAGAAAAGAAGAAAGGAAGGAAGGGAGGGAGGGAGGAAGGAAGAGAAGATGGGTGGGAGGGAGGGAGATGCTGGCCCAGGTGGAGAAGATGTGAGGGCGTGAAGTCCAGCTACGGTGAAGGCTGCACTAAGAGAAGGTGGTTACAGTTCAAACCCCAAAAGAGTGGGCGGTGTCTAAGGTGTTAGACTGTAACTGGAGATGATGGTTTGGCTGCAGTTCACACTCAGAGAACATGTCTAGAGCGAGGGTGTGGAAATTAGAGAGATTTGTTAGGGTAACAATTATAGTGAAAATGATGGTTCCTGGGGTGGGGACTGGGGGTGGAATTTCAGTCAGAGAAGTAGGTTAAGGCACAGTTATACGCCAAGAAGACAGGCCGCAGGGTCAGGCAGTCGGATGGGGGTAGGAAGAGGTAGAGCCATCAGAAAAGCTGGCCATGGCACGTGCAAGTACTTTTTAAAAATCAAAAAGCTTAACATCTGCCAAAAGCAACTGTCTCGCTTTCCATTTGCCAGTGACAAAGTGCGCCCGTGGTCCCCTGGGTCACAAAGAGTGTCAGGCTGGCAGATCTCTTCTAAGCCAGACACTGGGCAGGGAGAGGCTGTGGAGGAACCTCCAAAAAGTCAAGAGTCTCCTCCCTTTTCCTTCAGAAACTCAGGAAGCCTGTCCCAGGTCCAGGGACCCCAGAAGAGCAGATTCTGTCTTCTGAGGAGGCAGAACAGCCCTGTGATTTGGCAAGCAATTGGCAGCCCCATTTGTCTAACATCCACCAGCTCATCTTTCTTCACCCACCCAAGGAGCACCAAGCAAAGGGCCCTTCTCCCTCCTTTACCGCAAACACAGTCGGAAATCTTCCTCGGCCACTTTACACAGCTCTCCCATCTGGAATCTGCTCCTCAGCCATTCTGGTAACATTTTCTCAAACTCCAAGATGGTCCTGGCTCTCTGGGGACATAAACGAGCCTAAGCACATCGCTGAGGAACCAGCCCAGGAGCACGGCTACCCGTGAGTGTGGATGGGCCCACGTGCACACAGACACGTACACGCACACACACCACCACAAGCCCGCTCCACCCGCACTGAATGCTGAATGCCTAGGCCCTGAGGATCTAACCTACAGAATTCAAAAATGAAAAGCCAGTGAGTTAGGGGAAGATGTTCAAATTGTTGTGAACATCGCATAAACAATGTTTCTGGAAGTCTGGAGCTTCCTAACTAAAAACATTAGGATCCTGGGATCCCGTGGTGAAGGGAGGTTCAGACATCATGCAGTCCTATCCCCATCTAAGGCTTGGAATCCCCTCCGCAATTTTCCTGGCAAAAATTTGTCCAAACTCTCCTAAATGTTACCAACAATCCAATTAAGAAGGCCCTAATAATTAGTAACTTCCTTGTGTCAAATCCAAGCGTTTCTCCCTGTCTCTGCCTCCTGAGGCCACAGAAAGAGCTGCTCCCTCTTTCACACGTAGCTCTGCAGATACCTGAAGGAACTCTCACCTTCTTCAACCCAGTTCCCACACCATTTCTTGTGAGGCATGATTGCGAGTCCTCTCCCAAGCCAGGTCAGTACCTCTGGACCACCCTGAGGGTTAGTGTTCTTAGCGTGTAAGGCCCACAGCATATGAGGAGTGTTGCAGTCAGGATGGAGGAGAGCAGAACTGTCACCTCCACTGTCCTGTACCTTATACTCCTCTTAATGCAACCTAAGGTCACACTTCAGCATCCACATATCACACCGCTGACTCTGAGCAGAGCACACCCATAAGCCTGAGTTCCTCTCACGCATACTGTTGTCCAGCAATACTTCCTAAACCCAGTACTCTGGGAACTTAGTTTCCTCAAACCCAGCCAAGCACAGGGAGCTTATGCAGATTCCCAGGCCCCACCCCCTATTCACCGGTGCAGATGGTTGTCAATACCATAAGCTGAACTGAGTCCCCCTGCAGGCCCCAGTAGAGGGGTCTCTGCCAAGCTCACCTGTAGGCGCCAGATGCGCTCACTCTCCTTGGAGACGTCCTCCACGGTCTCTCCCATCAGGGCAATGAGCATGTTGAGGAGGAGGACGAAGGTGAGGATGACGTAGGTGATGAGCAGGAACAGGAAGAGGATGGGGTACTTGGAGTTCTGCTGGATGTTCAGGTCGCCCAGGCCTATGGTGAGCTTGAAGAGTTCCAGCACCGCATCGCTGAAGCTGCCATATGAGCTGCAGTCCTCATGGTCCTTGGGGCACTTCTCGATCAGCGATGCCAGGGCTGGGAGGACATAACAGAGTGTTCTCGGCAGCCTCTCCATTTGGTTACTTACCCGAGAAGCTCATGCATACCTCCACGTGCACACATGCCCACACACACATGCTGCAGGCCTGCTGCCTCCTTCTCTCTGACTGCTTAAATTCCTTCTCCAGCCTCAGCTCCTCCAGAAGCTTCATCAGGCTGGTGCCCGGCCTTGACCTCCTGCAGAAAGTCCTTCCTGCCTAACCGAGCCCAGACTCTCCTCTCCCTCCTCCACCCCTCCATTCAGCCCTTGATCCCTCGCAGACTTGCTGAGTTGCTACTTATAATCTATGCGTGTCCCTGGCTCCCTCCTGCCCAGGCTTTGTGCTCCTGACTTCCTGTAGCCTGGGTTGTCTCCCCCAAGACTGGGAGGTCCTGAGTCTCTTCCGAACACTTTGCAGCGAGACCCCCGGTCAAGGCCTGGGGCTCACTCTTCTCTTCTTTGCAACACACTACAGCTCCTTGCTGAATGAATGGACAGATGAATGAATGAATGAATGAATGAATGAATGACTGGTCAAATTAATGAGTGAGGAAATAGATGGATGACTAAACAAGCAAGTGAAGGAGCAAATAAATAAGCAAACTGTGACGCAGAAGAGGTACCCGACAGACAGGAATGCCAGCGGTGACGGGGAAAAAAAACTGGCATGGGAAAATAAAACCGTATCTCCTTATGCAGAGGTTAGAAATAAAATCAGGTGGTGCTGTTCCCTCTGTTGCAAGTGGAGAGGTTTTTGAGAGGGGTTACCCATCCCTGGTTCTCAGCAGACCAGAGGCTCTCACAGATATATTGGCAGCAAATGGTGACAGTAACGTGATGTGGAGGACCAAAGGAGGTTACCTCCATGCACTACTCCATTCCTACTTTTCAAAGGCCATCAATCCAATTTCTGCGAACTTTAGTTTCCCCATCTGTAAAATGGGAACAAAAACACCTGCCAAACCTAACTGAGGCTGCGAGGGCCACAGAAGATGAGGGATGTGAAGGTGGGAGGCAGACCACACAGTGTGGATGGATAAAAGCAAGTGGTCCAGTTCCTGGAGTCTCTAAGCCTCAGTTCCCTTACAGCAGGGATGGTAATGATTCCCTGTTTGGTCAAGATGTCAAGAGAAGTAAAGAGAACACGGTAAGTGTTCCACTGGTGCCGCCATCATTGTTGCTGTGGCTCCTGTGTGCTCTGTCATTCTGACATTCGTCTAAAGCGCTTTACAAATGCAGGGACTACTATTATTTATAAATCAATTACCTACTCCAAATCCAAGTAAGAACACGATATATACAAACAAGAACTTCAGGACATCGTGCAAAATGACCTACAAAGAAAGAAACAATTCAGGGGTCAGGTTTGGGCACAGATTCACTACACATGAGCTCTGACTGCTTCCCGTCCTCGCCCCAGGTTCCCCCACAACCAGGCCCTCAAGCAGGCTGCTCTCCCATCCCCCTTGCCAGACCCTCCTCATGCTCCACAGCTCAGCTCTGAGCCCACCTCCTCCGGAAAGACCTCTTCTGTTCCTGCTCCCTGCCCTCCTCCCTCCTAGAACACAGCCCGTCTGGGTCCCTGCTGATGCAGGCTACGTGAGCACCTTTCCTCAGAGAATCTCACATCTGGAATTCTCACACCTCCTGGGGGCCGTGCTGTGGCTGGAGCGGCTCATACCCGCTCACAAGAGCTGACTCTCACATTCTCATGAATGTTCTGAGCCGGTTGTTAACCAAAGCCATTACTAAGAATTAAATTCTGTAACAGAATTCAATAAATTCTTCTAGAAACAAAGATAATAAATATTCAAAACTCATCACCTCCTGGTGACTTTACTTCATTTTAAAATTCTCTAGGCTTTTAAGGTTATTTACATCTATCGTTGCCACGTGGTGGAAACACTATATAATGCTGTGCGACTGGGCGTCCCTTCCCAGTTCTGTATTCAGTGATGTCATGTTGGCAGCTGGAAATCAGCCATCAGGTGGAAATATTTACACCATGGAAATCGCAAATGCTACTGATCAGATATTGTTGATTGTGTAGATCTACACTTCAGACAGCGATGGACAAAGCATTAAGGCAAATGCAACAGTATGTGTCCTGTCTGCGGCTGTCACATTGTGAAGAGCACATAAACATTAATGAAATATTCTTCTCCAAAACTAGTATCCAATTTAGCAAATAAGTGGCACAACATCATGGACAAACAAGTGCAGTTCCAACATAAGCCTTCGTTGTTTCACCTTCATCTTATTCCTTAAAGCAAAGGCAAATATCAAGCAACATTTAGGTTGGCCCAACACTCACTTGTCAATTGCAACTGTAGGTTGGGAACAGATACAAGACTGCAACCAAAATCAACAAATTATTCGGTGAGACTCAACTAGCCATGTGGAATTTACAAGAAAAAGCACTGTATTTTTTATTA